TGACGTGTTCAATACTTATTTTACCCGCTGTATATAACATAGGTCAAGCTATAAAACTCTTTTTTTTTCTATATCTACAAATTAAGGCAGGAAATCAAATTTCTCTTCAGTAAAACGAAACAAAGCCCCCGTCTCAGTGTGACAGCACGAGGGAGGCAACCAACAAACTGTCTGCAAAACCCAGATGGTTTGTAGGACGGCAGTCAGACATCTTCACAGACCGACAAGGTGCTGTTTTGTAAAGATGTGCCGGCGCTCCGTTGAAATTTGGCCTCGCTGACTTCAACCGTTCAACAAAGTTAACGAGATTTTAAAGGCAAACAGAAAAAAAAAAGACAACCAGCTCATCACGAGGTCAGACGTCTCCTGTTTGTTTTGAATTTCCTTGCTAACAAAGTCAAAGCTGATAAATATGCAGTGAAGAAAGCATGGGTCGACAGGCTGTTGAATTTTTTGGCAGTGCCCCCCCATCACTGGACATGTTGCTTTTCAAGCTGTTGAGTCTGCAGTGAGCCCATCTGTGCCATTCCCTCTTAGAGACCATCAGCAGCAACAACGTTCCTCCTTTTATTAAATCTTAAAAAAAAAAATAGTAATAATAAGTTGACAGCCAGATGGGATGAAATACTAAAGGGAGAGGACCGTTTTCTGCATATTTAAGACTAAAAGCTGCTATAAGTAAATGAGTTTATTCGTGGTTTAGTCGTCTGTGCTGAATGAATTTATGTATGACAACTTGTTTCCAAGGTGACTAAAGGTTGAGATTTTCCTGTGCGGCTGTTTAATGTGACTCTGCATCTGCACCTTGCTGAAGACGGGAAGTGGTTTGGGTCTTTCATCTGGGCCACGTTGCACCGCGATCTGTCACATTTTCCATCCCCAGCAACAAAGACGAAAAAAAAAGTAAAACCTAAAAACAGAGAAAAAATGAGCCTAACCACTTGACTGCATTTCACATGAAGATCTGACTTTATCTAAAACCAGATACATGAAGCCGCAGATTGTCACATTTTCCACACGGTGACATTTTTTAAAAGCGAAAGATGGTTGTCTCGGTCCACATCAAGATCTCACGAACGGAAGCAAATGTTTGCAGAATTAGTGTTTTGTTTTTTGCCGAGCCGTCAAAATGAAATGATGGAGCAGCTGTAAACGTTAAAGCCTTGATAATTTTAGCAGCAACGATTGAATGATCTCACTCCAAAAATAAGATTTAAGATTGGTTATTTTTAATGCCTCTTTAATATGTAGTGGATTTGG